TTTTGTGGAACTTGAAAACTGATCCTAAATTCATATGGAAAAGCAAAGGCCCAAGAATAGCAAAAAGAATTTTAAGAACTAGGATGGAAACTTGCCTTCCTTGTTACCAACTGCCACAAGACACATTATAAAACCAAGGTAATTAAAACAGTGTGAGAGCGGCATAAAGACACAGGGGCCAGTAGAATAAAACAGAGAACCCAGAGACAGATCCATGCATTTATGAGAGCTTTGCACAGGCAGAGTTGGCTTTATGGTTCAGTGGACTGCATAGATGGTGTTGGGACAAATGATCATCCAATCAGAAAATAATGAAATTAGATCTCTACTTTATATCATACCCAGAAACCAATTTTAAATGGAAAGTAATTCATTATAAAACAGCATATGTTTAAATATACAAATGTTCAGGCTGACTACACTAGAATCCATAATGAAGTACAGCAGTCAGATGCTTGCACCTAAACTTAGAATCACCAAGAATGCAAAAGCTACAAAACGCAGGCTGATGCAGGTGCGTTGGATGGCAACTCAAATACCACGAGCTGGGCTGCCTTCAGTAATGTGATTTTTCTAGAGTGATGAACAACTCTTGTTAAAGTTCCAAACCACAATAAGTATAATTTCTCCTTGATTTACATTAGAGTTGCATTTCTGGAAATTTTAACTATATTCAACCCTGCCAAAAAATACATTATGTTTATACAAAAAATAAAATTAGATTTAGGCTCAGATTATAAATGAGTATCCTGTGGGATGCTCAGAAGTTGTACAGGATGCAGGACAGTTCTTCACAGTGAGGGGCTGTCCACGCACCGCAGAACATCAAACAGCTCCAGCCCTGCTCTGCAAACCCCGGCAGTGCCTCCAAAATTACAATAATACTCAAATATGCCCTCGTGGATTCCAAAATGGCCAAAGGGCAGTACTACCCCCCTGGAGAACCACAGTTCGGGAAAAACTCTTGTACAAAGAGACATGTACAAAGATGTTAGTTAATAATAGCAAAACATCTGGAAAAACCTAAATGTCCATCAATAAGAGAATGGATGCAATATTACAAACTCATAATGAATATGAAATGAACAAATGACCTATCTGTATGGATATAAATACATCTCAGAAATAATGTTGAGCGACAAAAGCAAGTTGCAAAATGAAGCCCACAGTATAATAATGTTTGTATTTTAAAAATAAAGTAAAAAACTTAGTAGCAATATATATTGTTTATAATAAACATATATATAGTCAAAGTATAAAAATATGGGCACAAATAAAGCATAACAATTTCAGAAGAGTGTTTGCCTCTGGGGAGAGAGGAAGAAAGGGGCATGGGGCCAGGAAAAAGATTAAAAGGGATTTGAACTAAATCTGTGATGTTCTATTTCTTAAAGAACAAAAACAACAACAAAGAAAACCTTAAGCAGATGTGCCAAAATGTTGATGTTTGTTAATCTAGTTGGCAGGTCATGGGTATTTGTTATACTACCCAGTGTAATACTTACTATTTGTAATAATTTTCAGATAATTCTTAACTCTTAAAAAGGTAACTGGTAGCAGGGTACATATGAATTGAAATCAAAGAACAGAGATTGGTGGCCAATCGGGATACTATTGCAGTTCTCCAGATAAGAGATGTTGAGGGTCAAAACTCTGGCTTAGCTGTGGAGATGAAAAGGAGTCTAGGAAGAAGGCATTAGAAATGAGGCAGGTTTTTTTGCACAGCAAAAGAAACCATCAACAAAATGGAAAGATAACCCTTTGAATGGGAGAACATATTCGCCAATGATACATCTGTTAAAGGGTTAATATCCCAAATTTATAAAAAACTCATACAACCCAACACCACAAACCAAACAATCCAATTGAAAAATGGGCAAAGGACCTGAATAGACATGTCTCCAAAGAGGACATCCAGATGGCCAAGAGACATATGAAAAGATGCTCAACTTCACTAATCACCAAAGAAACGTAAATTAAAACCACAAGGAGATGTCATCTCACCCTGTCAGAATGGCTATCATTAATAAAACAACAAACAAGTGTTGGTGAGGATGTGGAGAAAAGAGAACCCTTATACACTCTTGGTGGGAAAGCAGATTAGTGTAGCCACCGTGGAAAACAGTATGGAGTTATCTCAAAAAATTAAAAATGGAACTGCCTTATGATCCAGTAATTCCACTTTTGGGTATATATTTGAAGAAACCCGAAACACTTATTCAAAAGAATATATGCACCCCTATGTTCATTGCAGTGTTATTTACAATAGCCAAGCTATGAAAGCAGCCCAAGTGCCCATCAGTAGATGAGTGGACAAAAAAGTGGTGGCACATTTATACAGTGGAACACTACTCGGCCGTAAAAAAGTACATCTTACCATTTGCAACAGCATGGATGGACCTAGAGTGTATTATGCTGAGTGAAATAAATCAGTCAGAGAAAGACAAATAACATATGATTTCACTTATATGTGGAATTTAATGAACAAAAATAAACACAACAAAAAAACAGAAATAGTCCGGCTGGTGTGGCTCAGTGGTTGAGCGTTGACCCATGCACCAAGAGGTCACCAGTTCGATTCCCAGTCAGGGCATATGCCCAGGTTGTGGGCCAAATCCCCAGTGGGGAGCATGCAGGAGGCGGCCAGTCAATGTTCTCTCTCATTGATGTTTCTAGCTCTCTTCTTCTCACTTTCTCTCTCTCTAAAATCAATAAAAGAAAAAAAATGTATATAAAAAAAAAGGAAACAGACTCATAGATACAAAAACAGACTGATGGTTGCCAAAGGGGAGGGAGGTTGGGGTACTGGGTAAAAAATGTGAAGGGATTAAGAAGTATAGACTGGCAGTTACAAAATAGTCATTGGCCTGAGGAAGCTGAAAGAGGTGGGGCAGTAGATTGGGGCATGGGGGGAGAGGCAACCAACTAATGTCTCTCACATCAAGTTTCTCTCTAAAATCAATAAGCAGCCCTGGCTGGTTTGGCTCAGTGGTTGGAGCGTCCGCCTGCGGTCCGGAGAGACCCGGGTTCGGTTCCCGCTAAGGGCACGTATCTCGGTTGCAGTTTGTCCCCGGCCCTGGTTGGTCGTGCGGGTGGCAGCCACTCGATGTGTCTCTTTCACATCGATGTTTCCCTCTCTCTCTCTTCCTCTCTTTCCCTCCCACTCTATCTGTACAAAAAATGGAAAAATGTCCTCGGGTGAGGATAAAAAATAATAATAATAATAAAAATAATAAAATCAATAAGCATATCCTCAGGTGAGGATTAAAATAATAATAATAATAATAATAACAACAACAACAACAACAACTTGTCTAAATTCGAACACCCTGTTCAGAAGGTATCACGAAGAACAAATAAATATCGGGCCGTTTCCCCTCTGTGCTCATCTGTGAGGTCTTTCTTTGGAAAGAGTTTATCCAAAACTTTTTTGTAGTGCTTTCTTTCTTCATTTAACAGTTGGTTCTACATACCTTGGAACCAGCTCTCAGAGAAACTGATAGTGGCACACATTAAGGCAGCGATTTTCAACCTTTTTCATTTCATGGTGCATATAAACTAATTAGTAAATTCCACGGCACACTAAAAAATATATTGTATTTTTTGCTGATCTGACAAAAAATAGGTATGATTTTGATTCATTCACAGCTATTGTTGTGTTGGCTGTTGTCACTTTTTAAATTTATTTGATAATCTATGGGAAAAGAGGTCAGTGCCCCTGACTAAAAAGTCAGGTACTGCATGTCTTAAAAATTATTGTGGCAAACCAGTTGACAATCGCTGCATTAAGGTAACTGACCTTTGCACATGTACATAGCCTATTGGATTAAAAATGCACTGCTCACAAGTTGATCACGTGTGAGAATACTAAAGGCCATTACATGATGACATACTGTCCAGTACAAAAGTGGATTTTATGTAGGGTAAGGTGGCCAGTGCTGCTGGTGGGAGATATATATCTCACCCACTCTCTGATTTTCAGACTCGAGCCCATGAACGCAGCAGAAAACAGTGGATTACAGAGTAAAGAGCCTTCTGGAGAATTCGTTTCATTTTCCTTTATAGCTGTTCCAAATCTTCAAAAATAATTGGCGGCAGCAGGGGTGGGAAGTGGGCTCACACTTAATTTTTTTTTTTTTTTACTTTAAACACTTCATTATGGCTTGAAATTTAAAATATTAAGATAATGCTTCTAGCTTTATAATTATGTAAAATGCAGGTTGGGAAAAATCAATTGCCAAGCTACCTAAATGCTATCAGTGTGACATCATCTCTTAACCAACTCATAGAAAAGAGGATCAACGGATGCAGACCACGTCTTGCCCAACTTTATCCTGGGCAGTGTTGGTATGCAGCAGTCGGTGCCAGGCAATGCCCGTCTGTCACAACATCACGCAGGGCCAGGACCGGTCACTCAGGGCTGCAGAGAGGACATGCCACTCACGAGGGCTCTGGACTCTTCCAGGGCATGTGCTGATCTAGTCCGGCGACCGGAGAACACAGCCCGAGCCTCACTTCCTCACCCCCACCTCCCATCACCACGTGTCTCACCTTTCTCCTCGGTCTCCCTCCCTCCCCCAGGTCTCAACTCTCCACCGCTCCATCCCGGTCACCTGCCCCTGGGTGTCACTTTCAGTGTTCACCCGCTATCCCCGGTACTTGGGATAGAGATTAAGGTTTGAGTCATAAGGTATTGACTCAGGCGCTGACATTTCACTTTCTTAGAAACATGAAAAATAAAACATTCCTTTCTTCTCGGCCCGCAGTTAAGTATTTACTGTCCCGGGGCCTGGGGTCCGGATGGGCGGTCCAGCCCGGTGTGATGGGTCAGCGCCCCGCCTACCGCCCCGCCTCTTCCAACCCCCTCGGGCCCAGCCTCCTCGGGCCCAGATCCCTCGGCTCCAGCCTCAGCCATTCTCTCCTCCGCCTTCCTGTCCTCTGCAGGGATCCCCACTCCTCACCTCCGCCCTCCCCTGGCTCCCACCCGGGTACCTACTCACACCTCGCAGTCCGGCTGGTTTCAGCCACCGGGGCTTTGGTCTACTCGGAACGAATCACAAATGGGCTTTCATCCAGGCGGCCCTAGATTCGCTAATCAGCGCCTCTCTTTCAGCGCCCAGTTTCCCCTTATTTGCTTACGCCCGCCACGGCTCCAGGCAGCGTAGAGGGTGGGCACGTCGCACTCTGTTACGCCCTCCGATTGGTTGGAGCCTGTCGGTCCTGGGGCTCGCCTCAAGCTCGATTGGATAGAGGCAGTCCGGGCTCCGCGCACGCCCTACTCCCTGTCAATCACACCAATTTTTAGGTAACCCGAGGGCTCATTGGCTAGTCTAGCCTGAGGGCGGATTGTAGGACGGAAAAGAGCTGTTTTCCGGGCCTCCCTCTCTGTTACTATGGAGATTGCAGAGCCCTGCCGGGATTCGCCGGTTCCGACAACACTTTCGTCCATCTCTAAGTGCGGAGACAGGTACAGCAGTCTGGACGTTAGTGCCTGTTCCGAGGTCCGATGAGCATCTCAGTGCCTGACCCACTGGCGCCGGTGGGTAAAATCAGATGCAGCCTCGAAGTGGGGGCAGGCCCAGTCATTCCGGGCCCTTAATGCTCCCGGATAGAACCGAGTACAAAGCACTAGTTGTGACACCACGCCTTCATTTATTCCTATCTGGCCTTATTCTTCCGTTATCCTTATGAAGTACACTGTGGTAAGGATGAGTCTACTCACAGGACAGAACTGGGAAGAGAGGCCAGGGTCAATCAAGTGAATCTTCTGTAGCCACACCTCCAAGCTTCTGTAACTGGAACTGATCCACGCTTTTAGCAAGCTGCCCTTACTAACTGGGAACTAAACTTGCCTTGATTTTGTTCCGAGGCTGAAGCCTGTTAGACCAAAAGATTCATAAACCAGGCTAACCAAAGGAAGTAGGACAGAGGATGCATGCTCCATTGCTGAAACAGGAAGGGAAACAGGAAAACAAAAATAAAAACACTACCAAACGTGAGAGCTGTTAATATTTGAACCCATGACCTTATACAACATTCTGAAATATGAAGCAAACGACTCAATCCTGGAACACTGAATCTTTGATTTAGGGACTCCGATGCTGAATCATAGCTTTAAGGGTGAAATGGAAGAAGACGATTGAATTCCATTGGATGTATGTCTCAAATTTATTCTACTTTCAAGGGTTCAGCCATATGTACTAACCAATGATTTTCAATGTGTTTACCAACTTGACCTTACTTGGACCAATAAAGAGCTCTGTGGTATAGAAAGCCATTATTATGATTAATTCATTTCATTAGAATTGAGTGTTAACTGTAGCTAAGCACTGGTAAGATACAAAAGAAATACCATGTGACTCCTGCCTTAATAGCTTGTGGTTTGCTAATGTTAATAGCATATGAAACAATTAGGAAATGCTTTAAAGCGAGATATAACAATGGGCCAAACATAGTTAATTGCTCCAAAAGATAATACTACTACTTCATATTTACAGAGCATTTTGTAGTTTTCAGAGCACTTCTTCACTTGTATCATTGGGGGAAATGTTTTTTTACTAGAGTTAATGTGCGTCTTCATGGTTTAGCTGGAACTCATGCTGAGCCCTGGCATATGGGTAGAAATGGGAAAGGTGGAACAGAGATAGAAGTGAATCCAGAGAGAGAAAATAGTTTGAGCAAAGAGGCTGAGACAAGAATGAGCACTGAATATCTGGGAAGCAATAGGGAAACTGGTCTAAGCCAGAGTGGAGACAAACAGTGGAAAATAACATTGTGTAGATCAACCAGTCAGGACCAGTGCTGAGCCCTTTATGTTTTTGGGGAAAATGTTCAAAGTTTGAGTTTGGGATAGTTAATCTCCTTATACTTCTAATAATCAAACTGACTTTTGTTAAATTATAAATTAAGAATAGGGCATGAATGAGGAGGCACTCCAAACTTCTTACATTTTCCTGACTTGATATAACATTTTAGGTTTCTCTCTCATAAGAAGGTACCGCTCTCCACCAAACCTCACCTCAATCTCACTCCTTAACTGGGAAGAGGTGTTAGCTTTCTGATTAAAAAATGCTATCTTATCCTCTCATTGAAATCGAAAGAAGTGCTGTCACCATAGGACTCCATAAGTTGCCATCTCTTAATCAAAGTTCACTCCATAGAAGATTGATTACTTGACTATCCAGTCTTTCTCTCTCTCTTTTTTTTTTTATCCTCACCCGAGGATATTTTTCCATCTTTTGTACAGATAGAGTGGGAGGGAGAGAGAGGAAGGAGAGAGAGAGAGAGAGAGAAACATCGACGTGAAGGGACACATCGAGTGGCTGCCACCCACACGACCAACCAGGGCCGGGGACAAACTGCAATCGAAGTACGTGCCCTTAGCGGAAACCGAACCCGGGTCTCTCCGGACCGCAGGCCGACGCTCTAACCGCTGAGCCAAACTGGCCAGGGCCAGTCTTTCTCTTTTTAAAAATTGTCTTCTGTACGCCGAGTTACACGGTGCCTCACCACGTTGCTCCGAATCTCTGCCATGTATATATGACTCATAGGACACTGTTCAGTGCACATCATTTTGTTTAATTATGATCTTCTTTTCTCTGACACAAATAAAAAAGTCCAAGCAACAGCAACAATAAACACCAACGTCTAACTAATTTCCTTTCTCAAATGTGTAAAATCATTTTTGTACTGTCTGATAGAGAGGTAGGGTAACAAAAAAGAGAGGTTATCAGGGTAATGCAGTCCAAAAAATTATTTCAGAGAAAACAACTCTTTCTTGTTCATTTGATAGTTATCAAAACTTTTTCTGACAGGGAGCCCTGCATTTTTTGTATATATTTTCTTATGTGCGATTATTTTAGCATTTCTGCAGGTACGTTCTGAAAATGTACCTACAACTTCAGTAATTGGTGGTATTTAGCTGAGATTCAAAAGCCACCGTGGTTCTAGTCTGCTAAATTGGGGAAATGGCTAAACAAAAATCTCCCCCAGGTGTATTGTCGCGGTTACTGGTCTTCCAATTGTAGGGTAGGTGCCATTGTCACCCAGAACTATCACTATGATTTTCTTTCCCTTCTTTTTAAAAAAATCTTCACTTGAGGATATTTTTCCATTTATCTTCAGATAGAGTGGGAGGCAGAGAGAGAAAGAAACTTCGACATGAGAGAGACACATCGACCAGTTGCCTCCTGCACGACCCTGATCGGGGCCAGGGACGGAGCCACAATCGAGGTATATGCCCTTGACGGGAATTGAACCTGCAACTCTCTGGTCTCTGGGCCGATGCTCTAACCACTGAGCAAACCAGATGGGCCACTATGATTTTCTAGATTATAATATTTACCTTATGCTATAGACCAGGGGTCAGCAAACTATGGTCTGTGGGCCTAATCAGCCTGCCATCTATTTTGTGTATACCCTACAAACTAAGAATAATTTTTACATTTTAAAATGGTTGGGAAAACATAAAAAAAAAGAAAAGAAAAATGTGAAATTCAAGTCTCAGTGTCCATAACTCAAATCTCAGTGTCTATAAGTCAAATTTTACTGAAGCACAGGCATGCGTACTCCTTTCCATGCTGTCTATGGCCACTTTTACTTTACAACAGCAGCGTGGAGCAATTCATACACAGACTGAATGGCTCATACACCTGAAATACTTACTATTGGGCCCTTAAGAGAAAGCTCTGATTGTCACTGTCTTAGAGGTCACTAATGAATCAGATCCCATGGAATGCTGAAACTGAAACAGACTTTGGAAATCACACATGCTGATTTTTAAAAAGTCACACATTGATAGAGATAAGTTACTTCCTGTCTAAAATCACACACTCAATGGTAGTGGACCCCTGGTTCCGCTGGCTCAAGGTTTCTTTCATAAATGCTGTGTCTTACTTAGGGTGGGATGGGCGCTCTGTAGTCTGGAGGCAAGAAGAGTCATCAAACACTTTCCTGATTTTGATCTCGTGTCTCGTCGAGACAAATACAGTGCAGGGTAATCAACCGAGGATACTTGGACTTTCTTTATTTCAGCCCATATAGGTTGTCTTCTGTTTTCCATTTTTCTTGTTTGTCAAAAGGTGTATGACCATCGTGAAAAACTTTCTCATTTTTATGGTCTTTCTCTTTTTTACAAAATCTTTCTCCTTTAGCAAAGGTCTTCAGAGGTGGCTGACTTGCTGCTCCACGTTAAGGTGCTTAAGGGAGGTGAGGATGCTTAGAAAGGCGCAGGACACAGATTTCACTCTGGAGCCCACGGCTGGACCGTATGCATGGAGAGGGCAAAGGGAGTGTGCACAAGCCCTCTGGTCAGGTTTAGTGCACATACACATATGTGGGCTTTTCTTGGGAGAGTATCCATAGCTTTACGAAGATTTTTAAGAGTCCGTGACCTCAAGAAGATTTGAAACTACAGATATATAAAAGATGTGTTTGGGGGGGAATGCGGCTCAGAGGTGTGGTGCAGGACTGCTCTGGGTTCTCAGGTAAGACCTCAGCTGATGAGAGGGACGAGCTCTGCCCACTCACATCAGCCCACCCAAGTTGTTTTTTTTTCCCTTCTCTGCCACTCATAAAGGTGATAAAAATTCATCAGATTCACAAAGCAGTTGAAGTCAGATGGTGATGAAATCCCAGTATAATTCTCACCAAAGAACGTTCTGATTAATAGAAACTGCAGAGGAACTAATTTTATGAAAATAGCAAACAGGGTTGTTTTAGAAGCAAGCTGGGAGAGCCGAGCCGATGCCAACAGCCCCATTGTGTGGTGCTGACTGCTCCAATCTGGCCGTTTCTTTAGTAAATGTCTTTCCGCTGTAAATTATTAAGCCTGGATTGGGGAGAGGAGGGAGCGCGCAGAATAAGACAATAGAATGGAAAGCAGACCTGGCCAGCTCCTCCCAGCATTATTGCAGCACTGAGTCTCGGGAAAGCCCCTGACTCCCCTGGTTTGGAGAAGGGGGATGAATTCCGTGTTTGTGGGGCTCAGAAGTGGACAAGTAACACGCTTTTGATTTCTAAATTAT